TACAAAGATCGACAACGTTAACAAGCAGGCAATAATAAGAAGGAAGAATAAAAAAAAAAAAAAAAAAAAGAAAGGAAAAAGAAAAAAAGAATAATATAGTGAATCTTATCTTTAGGCAAAAAAACGGACCTGTAGATCCTCCATACAGGTGGAATACCGGCGAGCATCACTGTTATCTGCATAATTATCTCGCGATGGCCTTGATTGTTCCACGAGGAAAACAAGTGGAAGCAGGAGTATGTTATATCGCGACGTATTGTATGGTTCGATACGTCGCCTGTTTCTTGCCCTACAGTTGACGTAGCGTCGCGAAATAAAACATTTCTCTGTCTTGTGCGAAGCTGGCAAATCTTCAGGGACGATCTTCGCGCGGTATACACCGGAAGTGCAGCGGTGCCACGCGGCTGGCGCGATTTTTTCGCACCGCGCATGCGCGCGCGATAGCTGCGCGCGCACCGAAAATTACGCGACGCGATCGTAACAACGTATCGCGTTTTTTTTATCCATATTCATAATATTTCTTCTCTCATCACGAATAATCGATGGAATAATATATTCGAGCGATTATTTTTTTTTTCTTTTTTTTTTTTTTTTTTTTTTGTTATATACTCGAATCAATTCTTAACTTTAATATTAATGAGTGAGATTCTAATTCTAATTTTAATATTAATGCGATGCTTGGCCCCATCGTTCGGACTGAATTTTACGATAGTTCGTGAAAGATATGTGCACAATTCAAGCTCGAATAAAAAAGCAACAGAGATTCGCGACGGTGCAATAAAGTTTAATGCAGTGGTAAGAAAGTTCGCATAAAATACGCCGTCCCGATAAAAGACGCACGCTGCTGCGCTCGGCCATACGTTTCCTCGGCGACAATGCGGCGAATGTAGCTTAGGAGGAGAAAAAGCACGGTTAAAATCCGTGATCTTGAAACGAAGGGAAAACTTTACCCAAGACCCACGTCGAACGTTCTATTATACGTTTCACGACTATTGTCTGTACAGATGAAAATCGTGACTTATATACCGTTACGTGTATTACGAACGAATTTTCCTCCCTCTCGGATGATATTTCGCGCGATCGATGGATCGTACCGTCGATCGATGCGTCATACCGGTTACGAGGATAGAATAGGCATTCGAGAAACGGGAGAAAAAAGAGTAGACAAGAGTATTATTTGCTTTCCGTTATCCCTTGTCGTTCGAGACAGAAACGATCGAGTGTAAACGCATCGATTTATGCTCGAATCTCTTTTTAAGCTAGTTTTAAACGTGCACGCTGCTTAAACCATCGAAGCATGAAATGAACGATAACGGTTCGTTAGTTTTGTAACATTTTTTCTTTTTTTTTTTTTTTTCGTTCTTCTAGAATAATATTTTCCAATTTTTTTTTTTTTTTTTCCTTATGCTTTTTATCTTAATCTATGCGTAACTCGATGTATCAGCCTGCTGTACGCGCATGATAAATTATGAATCCTTTTCCCACCGCTCATCGCGGCAGATTAAAAATTAATCTTGATATATCGCTGTTGCAATATTTGTCCACCGGAATGTACCGTCTAAGGAGTTACGATGTTTTGTGTTTGCATACGGAAAGAATGTTACCGAAGAAATATTGCATAAATAATACCGTGAAAATTCTAATGTTGCACTTGGTTCGCCTCTTTTATTCAAACCTCTACTTATAAATTTTCCTCCTTCTTTTTTCTCTTTTTTTTTTGTGTCTCTTTCTCTCTCTTCTTTTTTTCTTTTTTAAATTCCATTTTTCAAGTGCGGAACATGACTGGTTTACTCCTAAAAAAAATTTACATTGCAAAGTTTTATAAAAGACTGTCCCACAGGACGTTGCTTTTAAATTACATCTTAAGAAATATTTCGTTCGTGAATCGAAAAACGTTTTATGCAGTTCAAACATACGAATTTCTAGAAATTTCGTATCTCTGAATTCCGAGGAAACGAATATATTTTCCCCTCGCTTTATTTTTCCTTCTTTTTTTCTTCAATCCGTATCGTATCGTACGTAAAAAAAAAAAAAAATGCTACGTTTTCAATATTTATTACGTTACGTAACTAAAATTGGAATTTTACTTAAGATAATGAGCTTTTATTTTATTCGTCGTGCATTATGAATCTATTTAATTATGAATCTTAAATTGAAGGAAAAAACAAAGTTCTCTCAATTCACGATGTATAACGCGAAATACGCGAATATCGCGTAGTTAATATTACACAATTTTTCACTTGTGAAGAAATTCTTTATTAATTTCTCTCTTCTGCTCGTCGCTCTAAATATTTTATACGATACGAATGTATAAAAAAATATATAGACTTTTATATATACACTTTTCAACATTTAATTGAGCAAGAGTCAGTCTTTGCGAGTGCGAAACGTCGAAACGTTTCACCTCTGATAAATCTACTCTCGTTTCATGGATTCCCCATTTAGGGTGCGAAAGAATATGATTTATCTCATTTTACAATCCGAAACAATGGAACCGCCGCACGATTGCAGCGGTCAGAAATTACGCGCGTATTTCGGTCCTCGAAAATTGACAACCCCTCCCTCGAGCGACGACCCCTCCATCCCTCCCCCACCCACCCACCCCGTATTTTTGTTCGCGCCAGGATTAGTTTACGTTTCAATCGGATGGATCAAACCAATAAACGCCAGTCTAGTTTACACTGTATATTATTGAAATTCCCGTGTAGAATTTCCCTCTGCGCCGAAATTCCGACATATTTTCCACTATCAATCGATGCGAAAAACGATGCGTTTCCTTCCTTAAAGGAAATCCTCCTATTATCAAGCTCGCTCGATAATAAAAAAACAGAATCGAAATCGACGAAACCGATTTCGTAGCTACAGTTTCATCGAGGATTGTGGCCTACAACAACCGCGTCCTCGCCGTTCTTTAGCGTGGTATAAATCCGTCTCACGTTCGGTGCTGGTTTCTCGGCCTATTCTGTTCGCGTCTCAGTCCCTTGAAGGGAGGAAGAGAGAGGGAGGGAGGGAGGAACACGCGACGCATGCCTCTAGATCTCGCGATCGATGGGTCAGGCAGGTCTGGTAGATAGGCTGTTTTCGAGGTGCAGAATAGGCGCGTATCCTCCCCTCTAAGCGTGCACAGCAGCCGCGTGCAGCCAGGCCGCGAGGAAGGCCGAGCGCGCAAATCGAACGTGCGTCCTCGCGACGAGTGGTTAACGACGCGAGGGTGTCGCGCGTATTGAAAATCTGAAAATCGACGCGCCGATGCCTGGTGGGTATGGCGCATCGTTACCTGGTTTACTGAAATTCGTGAACATGAAATCCTTTCGGCCTGTCGTAGCCGCACCACGCAGTTCAGGAGGATTAGGATCCCCCCTACGGAAAATCTTCCGCGACGATTTCTTACGAGGACGTTTTCTTCTCTCCCCGGGACAAGAGACCAAGATCCTCCTCTTCACGTTCACGGGAACTCTGCGATCTCTGTCGTAGGACAGTACATCCGCGCACAAGAGAGTTACAGTTACAACAACAACAACAGCAACAACAACAACAGGCAATAAAACAACGGCACTTGACGATTACATCGTTCGCACCGAGTCTGGTGGAGTCAGTATCTTAAACTTGTCTCGGTGGTCATTACGAGGCGCGCGGTGTCGATACGCGATGATGAAACGAGAAGAAGAGTTTTCAGAGTTTTTTTTTTCTTCTCTCTTTCTTTCTTTCCTTTTTTCTTTTTTCTTTTTTTCAGACGAGAGACGAGAACGAGCACAACGACGTCGATTCGGTAATATAACTTTCCGTGTATATATGTGCGTGTGTGTGTATATATATATATATATATATACACGTATATATATATATATATGTATATATGTATATATGTATATATGTATATATAACTTTCGATCGTTAGAGAATCGAGACGAGATATACGATCTCGCGTATCACGATTATCTCACGACGCGGCGTCGATGACGTACAAATGCGGACGAAACTCGAAGAGGGAGAAACAACAAAGTGGCGTGTGTACCAAGTTGGCCGCGGAGCGCGACTGAGGCCAGGGGTGGCGCCGAGAGAGAGAGAGGGTGGCGTGGATGCAGGTCGACGTGTACGCTGCACGGACACATCCCCCCTAATGAATGCACCAGGCATGTGCGAGGGATTTTATGTTCGCCGCCGCCGCCGCCGCCGCCACCACTCCCGCCACCCCTCCTCCCCCTTCAGCCTCCGCCACTACTACCACCAACCGAGAATCGGCCGCCACCCCCGTCGCCCAACCTCCGCCAGTTCCCACCCGTCCCCTCCAACCCTCCCTCAACCCCTGCCACTCTCCTCCTCCTTCTCCTCTTCCTCTTCCCTCGTTCTTCACCCTTCCTCCTTCACGCATCCCTCTCCCTGTCGCTCCTCGCGCAACCCTTTTCTCTCCAAAGAGTTGAACAGCGGGCCACCACCCAGCCGAGCCGCGTTGAACCCCGTTTTCCGCACGCGGCACTCAACGCGTTGCACTCGTCGCAGCGCGAGGCAGACGCGCGCCGCTCCCCAGGAAGCAGCGTGGGCGGATTTCGTCTCGTTCGCCGGAACCCTCCGCTCCTGGGGCTGTGCCCGGTTTTCACCTCCTCCTGCGTGCCTGCGGACGTACCCTGCACCCGCGATTGGTACGCACAACCGCCCGTACGCGAATCCTCTCCTGCACCTGCACCACGTCCTCTCCTCTCCTCTCTATTAGTCTATCCGCTATCTCGTTTCACGCGCTTGCCTCTCCCCTCCCACTCTCGCCCTCCTTCTCCCTCCCTCACACCCTCTCTTCTCTCCCTCCCACCCCCCCTCCGTTTAACCCCGTCTCGCCCGCTCCTTCGCCCGTCTGTTTATTCCGCCGTGTCCCGTTCATCTTCGGGACTTCTCCTCTCGCTATTTCTTCTGAAGGGAAGCGCCTTGGATGACCACCGAGCCGTTCTCTCCTCGCTCCAGTGGTTGGTGCACGACGGAACCTTCTTCCTCGTGGTACCGGCTTGACGAGGAGGATGCGTTGCTAATTAGTCGGTCGTTTCGTGTATTTCGCGTAGCCAGAGAAAGAGAATCAGGTTGGAGGATCGTTCGAGAAATGTGGCACTAGAGCGCCACGCTAGACTCTGACCCTGAATCCATGAGGGAGCACATTGCAACGAGGTTCGTTTCCTCGTAAACGACGATTCGAGTGTGGGTGTAGAGTCGTAAGAGCACAGTCTGGATCAAGGTCAGCACGCGAAGGGTAACCCGAGCTTAATAGTGGCTCACGAATCTCCTAGTTAGCCGGCAATATTAACACCAGGGGTGTTTAAGACCCTCGATTCGCAGGGCCATTTATCTTCCTGCCTGTGAACCATCCATCCTCCGATATTTCGAACATCTCGCGATACGCGCGACAAGACGACTTGGAGACAGACTAATACCTTTTAGAGAAATCGCGCGTTAAGCTCGACCAAGGGTGATTTTTTCCTCGAGCGTTCTATTTTTCGAAAGAAAAAAAAGAGAGAGAAAGAGGAAAAAGTATCATGGAGACGCAAGGTTGAACAAGCGGAGCAGCCTCCTAGCTCCGCTGGATCCGGGGAAAGGAATTCTCGTATTATCTCGATTTCTGGGAGGAGCGTTGTGCACACCACCGTTTAAATTTGTATTCAGACCACGGCTTATCTTAAATTTCTCCCCCGTCCTCGTCACGCTTGTGCACCGCCATGTAACGTGCATTAATTTCAGATTACATCGAAAACTATCAAGGCTTCGCGTGTCTGGCCGATCTGGATAAAATGCATTGGTCGTGTTCCAAGGATCCGATCGTTAACCGTCGGTGGACGGACGAATAAAATCGTCGTTTACAACCCTCGGCCGGCCGCTCTTACATTTCCTGAATGCGTCGTCTGTGAAGGAATACACTTTATCTCTCGATTGAAAAGATCGCATTGTAGCTTACCTTCCAGATAAGAGACGCGGTAGACTCTAAAGATTGAAATAAAGTATTTACTCGTCCGGTATACTTTTCCTCCTCGTTTGGGATTGTGCCTCTCCCCCCCCCCAAATCCTTCACTGGAAATCCACGGCAGACGGATGTCTTATTTAAAAGTCTTGTATTTCCGTAAGGAACGGACCCGTTAACTGGTCCGTATTACAACGTATTTTTGCCGCGTTGGTTGGCGAAATAAAAATCTTGGGGACAAAGAGTTAGGCAGGTTAAAAGAGCGAAAAAGAGAGCAGTCGAAACGGCGAAGAATACTTGGGGAGAGAGGCCGAAAGTTGAACGGTGTATATATATATATATATATTCAGACGAGTATTTTTTTCGGTCGAGCGTGAAGGGAAAGATCAGATCTTTAATAAACTTGTTTTTCCCCGGTTGTAGGAGGAATAACCATTACCTATTAACTGTCAAGTGCACGCTTGCTGCCGCGGTATCGCGGTAAACACGCGTGGAACGGGATCTAAAGTTATAACAAAAGTGAAACGAAACAGAGGAGCGTTTTAAAACTTTATAAAGAATAAGGTTTTTTAAGAAGAAGAAGAAGAAGAGAATACGTCCAGCGTTCCATTATTTTCGACGTTATACGCGCTATTCCATACACTCGTCGCGTTTTATCCGAATTAAATTCGACGCGAAAATTTTCATCGAATCTTGCCACGGCCAAGCCTTGCCCCCGAGTTCACGGCTCGAGTGAATGATTATGCGTGAAATCGAAGGAAAGGGTAGGGGACAATGGTGATGGTGAAAAGAGAGAGGGAGAGAGGACTCGGGGTGACGCGTTAAGGGTGGCAGGCCGGTGTCATTAACGAAGCGCGGTGGCACGAAGCCGTACGTCCTACAGCGTATCATCGACGTCGTTGAAACAATGGCCGCCCCCGTCCGCCCCGGCGTGTTATTCGAGCATCTAGTTATACACGGTTATTCAGAAAATTGTGCTTGAATGAAGTGTGCATCGCTGATTAAATAATACCGGGGCCGTGCAATAACGATTTCATCAATTTATTGCGCATCATCGATTGAACCTAACGCTGCCTCTATTAATTTACCGACATTGGGCCCAGAGGGCATCAATTTGTAGCCGTCGGTTTGCTAACAGCACGCCAAATTGCGAGGCCGCGATGAATCGACGCCCGGCCGTGATACTCTCCGCGATACTCTCCCCCGTGCGCAATTTTCCATCTCAAAAATTATAAATTCAATCATCGAGCGTGGAGGGCAGAAAGGAGAGAGAGAGAGAGAGAAGCCAACTAACCAACCGACCAACCGTCGTTCTCCATGCCTTCTCTTTCACCGAAAAGGAATCCAATGATTCGCCATTTTATTCCAATCACGTTTTTGCAACGGGACGTCGTCATATCGAGTGAACATCCTCGAAAGATTTACCCTTGTCTCTTTCGTCGACAAGGTGGAAACGAAGGTTGAGGGCAACATTCTGCTTGCTTCGCGCCCTCGTTGGGCGAAACTCGATGGGTGTAGACGGCGTACAGACGGGCGTTGAACCGCCAATTTCGTGCGTTACACTGTTGAAATATTTTCACTGGATTTGAGCTGAAAAGCTCGCGTTAATGAATTTGGGAAAGGGCTTGTAAACATTCGCTGATTGCTCAACTTGTGTACCCGCGTGAATAAATATTGCGCTTGTGGCACGCAGGAAATACGGGAACCGGAAATTGTTCCTGCTATTTATATACATCATATACGTGTATTTCTGATTCTATTTTTCTAAACTTCTTTTTTTTTTTTTCTTTTTTTTTTGATTATATATTTCCTATTTCTGAGAGGGGAATGATTTACATTGTTGTTGGATTCGAAGTCGGTGTTTCGCAGTGTTATGCCTTTGCACGCGTGTTGTTGATGCGGTATTTTACTCGGAACCCGTTGTAATAAACTGGGGAACCATTTTATGAAATATCCGAAGAACGAAGTCCTCTTGAGAAATCTTTTTCCTGTTGCTTTTCTTTCTTCGTTATTAATCGATTGCAATCATTGCACGTAATTTCATTATTAAATATTCTGTGATAAAAATTCCACGAGAACAAATTAAATACTGTATTCAACTTATTTCGAACATGATACCGTGTCAAGATCAGGATCAAACTTGGAATTTTCAATAAACTTTTCAATAAACTTCCAAACTAGAAACTAGTAATAGTAATACCAAAATCTAGATTATATTACGAAACTTCTCTTTGGATCGAGAGATTCCAAGATTACCATTACTTCTGTTACTAGAGCAAATTACTAGAAAATCACGCAGCAAGTAAATCAAAATCCCCAAAAAGAAATATTTTAATTTTCCAACGCGCCGAACTTCTTTCAATGCCTGATCATTAACTCGTCCGCCATCCACGCAATTTGCCATAATTGAAAGATTTCGTTGTTTAACGTACTCGTACGTGCAAAGTATCCACCACCCCAGATATCGTGGAGGAGAACAGAAGGGTGGAAGAGAGGGAGGGGAAAGAAAGAAAGAAAGAAAGAAGAAAAAAAGAGGTTGAAAGGGAGCCAGAGACGTCGGAGAGAAAGAAAAACAAGTCGTCGTCGTCATTGTTGGCCGTTGACAATGTGGGTGTACGTTTGCATCGGGACACGTATCGCAACGAACTTGTATAGATGCTGCGTTAAACTGCAAAGAAAGCGCGGAGGCCGTCGTTCTCATGGAAACTGGAGTGAGAGAAACTCGTGGAGGAGTGTTGAGGAAAGAAAAAAGGGGAGTGGGGAAAGTTGGAAATACTGAAAAGAGAGCACCGTCCCTCGACTATCGATCACTCTCACTTCATCATCTTCCCGGCTGCGCGCATATCTTCCTCGTCTTTGGAATAGATAGCGTGCAATCAACCGGCCACGATGAATCTGCCTATCTAGTGGAACTCGCAATAAAATTGACGATAGGGAGAAAAGAGAGAGTTGTTAATTTCCTTCCCTCCTCCTTTATTCCTCCTCCCTCCCTCCGTTACGATGACTTCGATCTCGTCGCTAATCTGTCTCCGTGTTGCGAGAGTTCGCGTGATTTTGATAAAAAAGGAGGGGGGGGAGGGGAAGAAAGAAAAGAAGAAGAAAAAAGAAAGGAAGAACGATACCGTGGAATATTAAAAGTTTCCATGCTACGTGACAGTGCCGCCAGCGATGACGAAGGCAACGACGTTCGTTACTTGTTTCGATTACTCGACGAGGATTAATACACGAGCAGTTAATTAATACGCCGGCTATCCTTGCCGTAAACTTTCTTCCTATCGCGAGGTGTCTCTCACCCTGTCAAAGACTGATGAAAAAGACTTCTGAAGGGAAAGGTAAAGCGCTCCTTTTGTTGGCCCGCATCTTTATCCGTTAAGGGATAAAGTTAGAAGGCTGGCCAGGAAAAATAGATTGCGAGTAAAAAAAAAAAAGGACTATAAATCTTGCTTCTAATCGGAATCCATCCGGAAGAGTTCATTATCAATCCTGTCGAGGGAGTTAGTTCCGGCTATACAGCTGTCTCATTGACTTTCCACGGCACGCTGGTTTTTTTTCTTCTCTCTCTCTCTCTCTCTTTTCTCTTTTTTCCCCCTCTAGGGTGAGGATGGTATCTGGCCAGACACCAGAGGGAGGAAGGATCAGCTGTGCGTCGATGGAGCAAAAGTAGAATGGGAACGTGGAGGAAGCCACGGGAGTCGCGTGCCAGACCACTGTCTCCCTCGTACGTCGGGAAACAGCAGTTGTATATAGGTATACATGGGTGCAGGAGAATGGGACGGTTTACACAGGCGTATTCGTGTCGTCGTCGTCGTCGTCGAGCCCTCAATTCGCTCGGAAAGTGAGCAGAGGAAAATAGAGAGAGAAGGGAGATGAAAGAAGAGAGAGAGAGAAAAGAAGAAAAGAAAGGGAAGAGATACTAGCAGCGGTGACGAGAGAAGATAATGGTAACGATACCTGGAAAAACGGTCTGAAAATAAGGGGTTGAAAGAGGGTATGTACATGCGTCATGACCCGGCTAAACAACCGTCGCAGAAACGGGATGGTTCAGTCCTCGTGTCTTCTTCCCTCGCGAGGGAACGGTTTGGTCGGCCAGAATGGAGCTACAAGTGGTGATAAACGATGGCCGAATCCACGTTATTGCCCGTTGGGAAAGCCACGAAAATTTCTACGGAATTCAACCTGCTGATTCCTGGCTGAATACACCGCTTCCATATCATCGTATCCTCTTCCCATGAATGCGGATTCAGATACCGTACGAAAAATGCACGCATTTATGCGTCGGTGTATCGGTCTTCGAGCGAGCAGACGAATAACGAGGCGAGTTGACAAAGATTCCCTTTTACAGGCCGGTTGAGCGGAGAGGATAAGCGTTGTCTTGAATTGCATTGAATATCATTGCCGCTGGAATTATGAATGGTATGTATAATTAATCGATCGATGGTGTAGAAGAATGGATCGTTAAGATGCCAGGAGAGAATTATTAGATACTTTGCCACTCGGTGTTCAACAGGTTAGAAAAATTGTGTTGATCACGACGCGTATAGTGGTCGTGAGAAAAATGGATGGTTAATCGTGATTTGGAGGCCGACTCCCGTTTCCAAGACAGCTTCATAAACGAGTGTTCTCTTCTCCGGATACATCGCTGCTCGGCCACGCCTCTGAAAGCATTTTCAACCAACTATATCGTGGTCAAAGGAAACGGCTAGGCATCCTAGCTCTGTTGTTAGTATAGAATATACTACTTGTCCTCTCCAAACGAGGACAGGAGAAGCGGTGATCGCGCAAAACCGTTCACCGCGCGGCAAATTTCACTTGGGAGCGTTCCGCCTCTTTCTCCGAGAAATCTACGCTGCTATGACGGAAAATGAAATCCGATATTGTAATTCCACGCGCTTGTGTAACGCGAACCTGCCGTTGAAAACGTCGAGGACGACGACGTGTGCGTCGCCCTTTTTCAAACCCGACGCTGCTGCACTTCGTGAAATGAATTTTAAAGCGCGTGGACGCCACGGTGACGCGAACGTGAACGCCAGCGATATTAAAACACAAAACGGCCGGAACAGAAATTCGCTAGAAACCACCGGCTACGCTTTATATGGTACACCTAATAATAACGCGGCGAGGATCACGTGTTAGTTTAAATTCGACGCGTGAACGCTAAATGTGAAATTAGTTGTATACCGAGCTATCTTCGCCAAGTTTGAAGAACTGCGAAGAAAGAAAACGGTATCGCGGGGAGGAGCGGCATTAGCCTTTCGATGACGTTACAACGAAACTTTCCACAACGTCTGAAAATTTTGGATCTTGTTCTTTGTTTTTTCTTTTTTTTCTTTCTCGTTTCCCCTCCTTCCCCCCACAGTTCGCTCGCTCGTTTGCTCGCCAACAACGACGCCCGCTTGTCCGCTCGCTATTCCGTGAATAAATAATTGAACGAACATGCGCGTGCGAAAGCATGATGAAAATTTCAATCGATGGCTTTCTGTCCGTTCACTAGTTCAAAATTATTTATTGATCTCTCTTTTTCACAGACTCATTCCACACACTCTATTTCACACCTCTCCTCTTCCATCTCCGTTTCTTACAGTTTCTGTCTCTATTTTTTTTCCTCCATGGGAGTGGTCGACGCGAGTCCTGCGACAAGGAATTCTTTGCTCAGCTTCCATATTAACCTACTCGGAAATCTAGTTTCACCTCGCATTTTTTGCGTCGCTAAAATGCTACTACGCCTGTTTCTCGGATCACAGGACTCGTTTCGCGGTTATAAAACGCGCGTTGATGTATCTGTTTCTTTCAAAGGCATCATGCTTGGAGGGAAACGGGGAATGCGAATCTCTTCGCTTAATGTCTAATCTAGGTCAACGGTATATATGGAATCGTGTTGGAACATCGCGGCTATAATATCTACATTGATTAAGTATATTCAGAATATTGGTTGAAATTTGTTGGAGAGCAGATCTGAGAGGTAAATAATGGCGAAATCTATATTCTGGCATTCTACTCTCTAAGAATTTCCATAACAAATAATTCACATTCAAATGAAGTGATATATATATATATATATATATACGTTATAATAAACTTGATCTCGCTTATAATGTTTCTTATGGATGAAAATTCCACTTTTGAAGGTACTGTCATGATAATATACATTGGCCCTTTGTTTGCTACAAGTAAATTTCAACAAGTTGTGTATTGTGCTCGAAGAGGAGATATCCAACATCCTACTCAGTTTCCTTTCTGCTTTTGAGAGGAAAAGACAAATAAATGAGAATAAATAAATAAAACGTTATCTATTATTAAATTATATCATAATAAACATGCAATATGCAATGCAATATGCAATATTCATAGTTATAAAGAGGTAAAAACATTTAAAGATTTGATATTAATATTTTTGATATTAATCATTGAATTTCTCTCTATATTCTAATAAACAACATCACATTTAAACATTATTCAATCATAATAGTTGTACGCATAAATTGAATTACTTGATATTTATAATTATACGCTGGATTTGATCTTTGTGTAATTACAAGCATCTTTAAATGAACCATTTATTTATAACTAATGATAAATTCCATAAAACTATTTTTCATTCCATGTTACTACTTTACTCGTATAAGATTGCGGGATAAAGCAAGTTTGAATAGTTTGCGCTTGCGAGTCAGAGATTCCGTTTCTTTACTAGACTCAGCACATCCTTGTTCCTCTTTATACCTAGCTGGCAAGTCGCGCGTGTCAATAATACACGTGCCTACTCCGCATATATGTATATGCGAATGCATGAGAAGACATGTAAATAAGCAACTCAAGTAACGTCAGGTATTGCTGCTAAATTACCCCACGAATCGATCATGCTTTTGTTGCATTTATTACAACGATAAATTCGAGAACGAGAGACGTCGAACATCGACCAGGAAGTAATAGACGAGTGATAAAGTTGAACGCGGGGAATTTTTATGAGTAAATCGATGTTGCACGCGGAAAGGGCAAAGCGGCGTGAGAGGGGAATAGCAGGCGATTAGGAAGGGGCTGAGAGAAAGAGGGAAGAGGATGGAATGAGGGGAAGAGGAGGGAGCGAGAGTGTGTTATAGGAAAGAGCAAGAAGAGACTCGATTGACCGAGGAGAAGGGAGAAACGATAGAGGAGTGAGAGAAAGAGGGAAAGAGAGAGGAAAGTAAAATGTGTGTACGCATATGTGAGAGCGACAAAGAAGGTGAAGAGGCAAAGGGCGCTAGAAATCTGGAGCGGGGATAGATCCGGGGGCTTTTGCGCTGTGCATGCGACCTTGAATGCTAGCCAGCCTAGACCTTGCCACAGCTCTTTCGCTCGGCTTGCCTAGTCCAGAGACCGCTTCACCTCTACATATATACATACATACATATATACATACATACATATATATTGTTGTTTGGAACGGCGGCCTAAATCCGATATCTCGCTTCCTCTTTCTTCTTGCCTCGCCTATCCTATGGTTTGTGGCCACGCGCGATCGCGACGATTACGTAAAGATGAAAACTCGAATAATTGTCAGCTGGATATCTAGTCAGCTGGGTAATTTTACTTTGAATCACGCACATTGTTGCGATTATTTCTCAAGTATAACGATGTTGCATTGAAATATTGAAATTTGAACCTAGAATTTTGAATTAATGATAATTTGATCATATTTTGTTACACTTAAAATATGAATTCTGTATGTTATTCACTATTATTTAATGTAAGCAATACCTTCTTAATTTTTAATTTCTATGTTAAATAGATTATACATATAATTCACATAGTTACAAAATCTATGGATGAAAATCTATTTATATAAAATCTTAAATACTTAAAAAAAGTTGAATATTTACCGTGAAAATGTTAAAAGATAGCAAATTGCAGTTTGATTTTCTATTTTTACTCTTTAATTACTCTTTAATGATAAACTTGAATATTTTTTTCTAAATACAACCGATGACCTTTATCATATAAATAATATATATAAGTAAATTTCTGAAGAAGTATTTCTAATATATGCAGCTATAAACATTTATAGTAATATTGGATATTTCTTTAAATGATAGAAGAAAACATCATTCCATCATATGACATGTGTACATGTATAGTACTGCAATATAAAATTTGTATTTAACCATCATGGAGAAAATTATGTTCCTATTTATAATATTACAATTACGAGTAATACCTAGTTAAAACGTGATGTTTAAAGTTTGCGATCCTCTTACTCGCTGGAGCGTTTGCATTAGGTGGGATCATAACGGATCTTTGGTCGCGACCGCACCTAGAATCCAATGAATTCAACATAACTTTGCTGTTTATCCACTTCACTTTTTATGTTTTTGCCAAATTGTGCAGTTCTCAAGATTGCAACGGCATCTGTCCTGAGAATTGTGAGCTATTCGTTATCACGTGACTACAATTGCACCGGTTTCACGCTAGGATGTTACCGATCACATGTACTATTGAGGTTCGTGACAAACTGCGCATGACTGTTTTTTCCATTTTATTTTTAATAAATATTTATAAATAAATTATTAAATTTTTTTCATTAAAATCATTATAATAATTGATTCTTTAAGTGATTAATAATATTTTTCAAATATTTATAAATTGCAGAATATATAGATATATAGATAAGTATAATATTTTTATACATATATTTTATAAATATTTATTCGAATATTGTAATAAATATAATAATTTATATATATATATATTTTCATCATTGTAATTAATATTATGCTATTATTTTGTAATTAATACAAAATAAGAAATATGAATATAAAAAAATAGAATTTTATTCGAACTAGAGAAAAATTCCAATGTATAAGTTGAGTTAAGTGAAGTTATCGTTTAGTTCGTTAGTGAATAATACAAGTTTTAAAATTTTTCATATTACATTTAATTTTTTTTTAAGCACTAATATTATAATAATATAATAAATTTAAAGTTTTAATTTTACCTTAATGTGAAATCAAAATAGCATAAATTAAATTATTGTTTAACAAAAAAAATCTTAAATTAATTTTATATATATATATATATACTATAGAAAGGGCACTATATATAGAATGATGTATTATTTTATAATCATATAAAATATAATATTAAATTAAATTAAATTTAATATTTTGATTATAGTCTATTTATAAAATTTAATTTTTAATTAACCATCAGATATATATTAAATAATTCGTACCATATATTGAAATATTATTGAAATAATATTGAAATATATAAGTGCCAACATCTTGTGCCGGCACTGGGCTAGAATTCAAACGTGTGCCGCCTCATTCTTGAGTTTCCGCGTGTTGTGTCGCAGCGTGCAAATTTCAAATCGTACGTTAATTCGTATAAAGTGCGTGTTCGAAATTAGTGATTGTACAAGTTAACAATTTATAGTGAATAAAAATGTTAACTAAACGCAAAAACAACAAGTATATTCATAATTATAATTTTCCACTTACAAAACTTCGAAACGTGTATTGTATACAGTGCAAACATCAATTTATTTTTCAAGGTAATTATTGAATATTCGAATCACATTTACCGGCATTTTTTTTTTTTCATCCATTAATATCTTGTACACGTTAATAATAAATGATACATTTATTTGAAACTTTTTACTATTACGATAATTGTTTTGCGAAAATTTATTTGTGTATTTTTATAAATATACATATCAATTAGTAATATTTTAGTAATAAATATACATGCGGCATTATCTTGCACGTTGCTTTTCTTTGCTCAAACATTAAAGGTATGAATATTATTTTAGAGGTTAGAATAATAGGAGATTGATATTCTTAACATTATGTAGATATCATTATAAATGTTTATTTGCAAAATATAATTAAAAAAGATATTGAAAAAGCTTGTTTATTTTGTTTGTTTCAGAATTTGTACCTTTACGTGGTGTTATTCCTTTATTGTTAGATTGTGGACATACAATATGTGACAAGTGTATGAAATTATTTGTTAATAAACCTTGTCCTCTATGTAATGTAGTTTCACAATGCGAGGATGATCATATACTTTCATTACCTTTACATATATATACATTAGGATTAATGGTCATGTCGCATAATCGACCAATTATTACCGATGATTTAGATATTTCTTTTTCTAAATTATCTACTTCTAAAACAAAGCAACAATGCATAAAAGGTGTGTATCTTATTAAAAGATGATAAATTATTTTAAATTATATTTTAAATTAAAATAAAGTATGTCTTATTTCCAGGATTATGTTATGAATGTGGAATTCAAGCAACTTTAAAATGTCTACAATGTGTTGTTCTTTTTTGCAATATTTGTTATACAAAGGTATATTATTTAATTAATAATTATGATTTTCTTAATATTTTATTATTTGCTTTTGTTGAAATATATCGTTATATATTTATAAATTCAGAAGAAATGACATTATATAATATAAAATGATAAAATGATAAAATATATCTTAAACAAATATTTGGATTTATATTTTTTGTTAGATTCATGGGAAAGCACTACAAAATCATACAAATATAATATTAACAGAAGAGAGTAATGAAAATTCTTTTACCATAAGAAATACGTGTTCAGAACGGTGTAACGAACCAGTAGGATATTATTGCCAAAATTGTGATATATCAGGCTGTTCACATTGTATGTTACGATCGCACAAAACACATATTTATCAACCATTACTTAAGAAGGTTTGTATTAATTTATTATGTAAATATGATATGATATGAATGATTTAATTAATGCATTTTAAAAAATAATGTATATAAAATAATATATTTTTTTATTTTAATGTTTATTTAGAATGAAGAAATGTTGGAAGAATTCTATAAAGTGTTTGATGACGTGTCCGAGAACTTCAAGAGAGTTCAACAGGCGCAAAAGGTAAGTTTTTAATCAATTTTCTGTATGTTTTAATGAAAAAGTTACTAGATATTTGAAAAAATTATTAGGAATTATGTTGCATGTGTCATAAGAAATTGTCCGTATTAAATGATAAATAAATAATTTTATTTCATATTTGTGACATAATATTGAGTACAAATATAAACTTTAAGAATTAATTTGTCACAATATATAATTTTAATTATAGAAATTTTTCCCTTAAAAGTGAGAAATTTCCAAATTAATTTGTTATATATTTGTTTATCATTGAATATGTTGTATATGATGTATTTAACAAATTAAAGACCAATATTAGTCTTTGAAATGCATGTATAAATGTAATAATTTTCTATAAAGTAGTACATTAAATCTTGTTATAAATAATTACACTGTACAAATATGACTAGAGGGGAAAGAGAAATACTTATTGATATTATCGATTATCCGTGTCCGTTCGCATTTATAATTGTTTTAAGGGCTTGAATAATTAGATATAAAACATTTAAATATTTCATCGTGATAAAATAATTTGATTTCTTCAATGTAGAGATCTTATAAACAAATTTTTCTTATACGCTAAAAAAAAAATAATATATATATATATGTTATATAAAAAAAGAAAATCACATATAAATCTATAAAAAAAAATATTGCACATTTTTAAGTTTCACAAAATTTCTTCACATCCGAAGATATGTAAGTGACACAACCTTTAATCATTCGTTGCTATTTATAATAAATAATGGCAACAAAGATACGGTAAATGCATGCTAGATTTGAACCAGCAAAATTACAATAATTTAACAAACTAAAATAATTATAAATTAGATATATCAATTATTTTTTTCTCTTGTTGCTTATTCTTAAGCTTTTCTTTTTCTTTCTCTTTCTCTTTTTCTTTCTCTTCCTGCTGCTTCTTCAGTTTTTTCTCTTTCAATTTCGCTTCCATCTCCTTAAACTTGATTTCCAAATACCGATCCACCTCTGGACCGGTGAAATCCTCTGGAAATTTTGGCATTATCGGCAGTATATACTTGTAAAGTCGTTCATTTAACACGTACAATTGAGTCGTAGTTTCGCATTTAACATTGAACCACCAGTCGCACGTCAACGCCACTTGACTGAATATCGTGCCATTCGGGCATAAAAACGACGATTTACCACCGTTAAGATCGCAATAATGCCATACCTGAAAGAACAACATTATCATTATTACACGAGTTTTCGGAATAGGTTTAAAAGTTTTTGTTTCATTTATTTATTTTTACATTAGGAATAGTTCTATGTTTACCATGTTTAATCAGAAAAAGAGAGAAAAAGAGGGGACAAAAAAAAAAAAAGAAAATACAGCGTTCCCCGAATTGGTGATCTAAACATACCTATCTCCTCATCCATAAACATTTCTATTTAAAAGAATGATTGATAACTTTCTTTACTCGGAATTGTTGTTACTACCTTCTCCGTTCCGTCTCCGTTATCTTCGCATCATCAACAAATCAGGGAAACACTGAAACGTTACCTGGCATCCAGTCTCTGGATCGCCAAAGAATCCTTTATACCGTTGTTCCTTGCAGCTGAAATTCGTACGCGGTATACTAGAATAGGCTGGATAATCGACGTTAGCCTTTCCTCGCGTAGCGCCATACTTCACTGCTGTCTGTGGAGCAGAAGTTTGCTTCGAGGTCGAAACCTCGTCGGGCTCGGTATAAAGCGGGCTCTGGGTGGTAAGAAACGGCAACGAGAATTGTTCCTTCTGCAATATGTCGTCCCTTATGTCTTCCGTGATCGCGTAAGAATGATCGACAGGCGGCTCATCAGGTCTGATCGTAGATAGGAATGCCTCTTTGTATCTCGTTGGTATCTCTTGCACCACGGGTATGTAATATTCCACCACGTTGTTCGTCAAACTGTTCGCGTTGTAACTCGATTGAGGCGATCCTTTCGGTTTCCCCTCTTCCTCGTACGAGGAGGTCGCCTTGTATCGTTCAGGATCGTCGGTCAGGTACACAGGATTGGGCGTAGCTTGAAATCTCGACTCCGTGATCACTTTCGGCCTCGTATGCGGCCGTGCTTTAAAGTTGGCGGCCGTCTTCTGCGGCACCCTGGCAGGCGTTAGAGGAGGCGCCTGAATCTGGGGGAATTCTTCCTTCTTCGTACTGTGCAGAATGTTCAGTATCTCGACCAGCATCCTCAGGCTATTATCTATATTGTCGTTGTTCAACGTTTCCGGCAAACGTTCGCTCAGCTGGAAGCTCTCCACTATCTGCTGAAGATTCACGTTAGGGTTTCGCGGTGGTAATTGGGGAGGCAAGGACGGTTGCTTCAAACCTGGTATCAGTTCCAACATGTTTGGATAGAGAGGGACTTGCCGATGATCCTGGAAATCCTTGACCGGGTAATTAATAGGGGCGTTGCCGCCGGCCTGACATTATAATCGAGGACGTAGTCATCTCGAAGATTACCGTGGATAGGTTTGGCCGGTTGCTTCCTAGGCGGGTGCTCCCTTAGGCCGTTCGTCGTGTAAGGTCGCAATGGTCTCACGTTTCCGTAGAATCTGTTCTCCTTGCGGGGATTCTGACCGCTGTTTACCGTTGGTATTTCGGGATACGCTATTTTCTGATCCTGATACGGTGTCGAGTATTCGTAATTGATCTTCTCCGAGCCGTATCTCACGGGCGTGAAGTAATCGTTGTCCACACCCACGTTTCCCGGGTCGTATTGAACCGACGGGACGAACTTCTTCTCTTGGTTCCGCGCGCGATAATTATTCTCCCTTCGTGGGCCCGTCCTGGCGAATTGCGGATTCGCCTGCGGATTCTGTCTCATCAGGGGGATGACTTGTTGCACGTCGTTCGCCGACGTTCCTTGCGAGATCGTTTGTGATTGACCGTTCACGAAGTTGTTGCCTACGTAGAATGTCATGTAGGGTATCAGTCTTCTGTACCTTTCCTTGAACTCCTCCAGCGTAATACCCGACAACGACTCGTCGTCATCCTCCTCCGCCACGGTCCTCGTCGAGTTCGTATCGGAAGGCGCTGCGTTTCTCGCCGTGGATAACACTGAAACGAGGAAATTGTCAATTAGCGATCTCTCTAGCGATTTCTTCGAAGAATTTAAGAGAGAAAGAAATTCTCTCGTCTGAATCACAGGACTACAAGTTGCCTCTTGATCGAAAGAAAAAAAAAAAAAGGAAGCATCGAAGAGGAAAAGGAAAGGAAAAAAAAGTCAACGTTTGATCTCTCTTACAAGATGATATGTACCTTTCATAATCGGTCTTTTAAAAAGTCACCAACATCGCTTCCTCCTCTCCCCTTTCGTCTCAATCTCAATTTCCACCCTTCCCCCCTCCCTCCCCGTTGCGGATACGTGCGAAGTAATGCCGCGTGTGCCGCACTTCGCCACTGGTTGAAATTAAATTAGAAGGAAAATATTCGGGGAGCCGGCGCTTTTGCACGTGCGCCGAGATAGCAAGAATAAAGTCCTATCCTCGGTGTATGCGCGCACACGCGTTCAAAATCACCGTGAATGCACGTATCTGTTTCAGCACACGCGCGCGCGTGTGCACTCGCGGAGGATATATTCGCTCTGGCACGTTCGAGTGGTGCAAAAACCTACCAATCCTCGGCCACCGAGCTGGCTTCAACCCTCGACCCTGTACGCGTGTACAATTACCGTTATCCCCCGTCTTGCTCGATCGTACAGGACGGCTCAATCTTTCGGCCGTTGCGATAGACGCAGGTTTCATCGGATTTCCTCGGGAAATGAACTTTGCTCGATCGATCGTTCCCAATTATGCACCGTGTTTAGCAACCAATTATGTTTCTCTTCCTTTTATTTCTTCGTCATTCGTTTCCTTTTTTTTTTATCACGAGGTATTAACGAGTATATATGGCGTGTTAACTGCATGGTGAAGAAAATATTGCCGTTGACTCGGATAATTTATATTCTTCTTCTAAGTTTTTCCTCTTCTATCGTCAAATGGAATTATCATACTCGAAGAGCAAAATTTCAATTAAATAAATTTCCAATCTATTCTATTGGTTTGCCATCTTTTTTCTAAGATTTTCGAAATCTCAATGCGCACGCTTAATTACGTGTAATTTTCTCCCCCGTGGAGATCTTTTTTATAAACCGATTATTCGGCGGCGATGTAACAAAGTAAGAGGAGACGAGGCTATCGTTTTATCGCGGCGATAGGAGATAGAGACAAAGGGAGAGAGCGAGAGGTCGTGGCGCACATCAAAGGGAGGCGTCCGTGTCTCTCCGTTACGCGCAGATACACACTCGACCTGGAAATCCAATTCGATTCTGCATGAAATGAGTCTGGAAACTCTCTCTCTCTCTCTCTTTCGCGCCGCTTTATTAATTCTGTCGGAAACGTGATTGAAAAATCCGCAAAGCGCGTGTTGCCAACACGCCCATCCTCGAGCTTCCCTCTAAAGAGGTGCTCGTCCTGAAAATTTACAAAGCGCCGTGTCCATCTGCATAAAGATGCGCGCGATCCTTCGGGCTAAGTGGACTCTCCACACTCTCCTGGTTTCAACCTTTTCTCGCGGGAATTCGATTCTGGACAGCTTGTTTAAGGCGGTGTTTACACTCGCGTTTCACCCCGTTTCCACAGTCGCTTTCTCGAGAGGGAATCTCGTTTTTTCCCTTGCTTTCTCGAGAAATATTTAGAATACATTTAGGTTCGAAAGGTACGTGGTTTTTTTTCCTCTGGTGATGGCTGGCGATCCTCTGGTTTTTCCTCTTTTTTTTAAGATTTGATCAGATCAAGATTAGATTTAGATTTGGAGGGAGGATACCCTCGATGGAATCACGCCTTTTTATAACGAAAGACGTTAAAGAAGAAATTTCGTGTTAATCGATAGAAAGACAGTTTGAGGCTATTTAGAAACCAGCAGCAGAGATAGATATTTCAATGGAAACAAGAGTATATACGTGGAGACGATTTTTTTGTCAAACCACCAACATTCCATACATTCGAACTCTTTGAAATTTATATTGACGTGTTAACTATATAACTGGTTATGATAAAGCGTTTCCCACAGCTGTTCAATTTTTTACCATTACCTTATTCTCGCAATTCCTTTCTCTCTCTCTCTCTCTCTCTCTCTTCGACCTCGTTTTTTTCTCCACCGTTTCATTCAAACAGTGGCAAATATTAATTTACTCGATCCACGGGAATCACGCTCGCGTAATATTTCCAGCGGGAAAGGCAAGTACAGTAGACCCTCGAAATTCAAACACAATCCGTTCCAGGAGACCGATTCAATCTTCGAGTTGTTCGAATTTCGAATTAAATTCTTCCATTCGAAACAATATAAATTTCAAGCAGTGGAAATTTACCCGATATAAGACATTTTATAATCGATAATTTTTCTGCTTATTTTTATTCTTAATTTTGTCTATTTTTTTTCTTTTTTTCAATCAAATCATATTCCATATAATGTTAATAAACACTGTTTAACAATCGATATTTACACAAAGTGATTTTCTATTTCCTCGTTCAAATCTCGAATAATCTTCCTCTCGTGAAAAGAAAGGAAAAAGAAAAAAAAGAAGGAAACTTTTAGTTCTCGAGTTCTACGAGCAAAATTTACAAAAAAAGATTAATTTTTCCACTTAAAGAATTTTCGTTTTCCACGAATAGAGGGAATGAGATACGGGGATTTATTTATCTCGTTTGCTCTCGGTTTATGACACGGCCCTTCGTCTTCTGCCGCGTACAATAAATAAAACTACGGTCGCAGTAATTTTGGCCGGGCGGCGAAATTGAGAATATACGTTATCCTGTTTTCCATAGGCGATATCAATTGTTCGTACCAGTTGTTCCCTATTCTGCCCGCGCGTCTCTGAATTACGATTGTAACGATTGCCTTGTATTACCTCCGGCCTGGCCATCGATGAATTTTTGTTTATTTCATAGCCTCGAACCGCGAACAAGACAGAATAGACAAGCGACGCGACGATTGTCGAATGAAATTTTACTTCTCTCTCTCTTTTTTTTATTTTCAATTGTAGCTTCTATATAATAAATCGCGATACATTTCATCGGAGGATTTCGATTCTTCGCTTCTCTCTGTCGTTCGTTTGAAACTTGGTTATTTATTTATTTTTATAGCGGAAGGAATTAAGCGCTGTTGTTCAAATTTCCCAGGGATCGACAAGTTTTTCTCGGAAATTCGTTTCTTCGATTATTGCGAAGAATTAAAATTAATTTTAAATAAATAAGGAGAATAAAATTTCCTGTAAAAACATCTCTCGTTTAAATATTTTGCGCAAAAAAAGATACACCATTTTTTCCTACGAATCTACACGAAGATCTCGTCTATTCTTTTTTTCAAATATCATAAAAATATTATATTACACATTCTCCCCTTAATCTCGTCGTCGAAATTTGCATCCCGGAAAAGGAAATCGTGTCCTTGCGACGTCGAAACGAGATTGCAAAATTTTGAACGCGACGTGCCAACCAATCCCTCCACAATCGAAAGTAACAATTATCGATCTCGATCGGGTTCTCCACGGATTGATTAGCCGGCCGTGTCTCTCTTTTCGTCGCACAAACGACGCCCATTCGATCGGATTTCTACGTTTGCGCAACATATTGTTTGCGGAGGGCCGCGCCGACACGGGAACCAGCGACGTGTCCGGTCCCCGATTCATCGATATCTCGATACGGAATATTAATTGGCGGCTATTGGTCTCCCGGATTACGTTATTTCGAACGCACGTGACCCGGAATCGTGACGAATTCGGGTTTCATTGCGTGACAACTGCGAAGTGGACGCAAACGGAATTCCAACTCATACACGCTCTCTCTCTCTCTCTCTCTGTTCGTGTCCATCTTTCGAATCGTTTTCGCGTCGTGGATCTTGAAAAGCTCGATCGTCTTCTCCATCGTTCGCATCGAACATTTTTCGATCAGGCTTAGCATCTTTGTTTGTAACTCGTTTTCTTTTTTAATTCAAGTTATTTTTTTTATTTTGACAAGTAATCGAGCAAACGGAGAGATTTACTATTGGATGTTGTAAAACACTTGGTCAAACACTTCTTCGTCGTAAATCTGGAAAAAATAAAAACTAACATACATTACAAATTCTACCCAATTTTAATTGACAATTTTCGTAACCGCGTAAAATTTCAAAAACGAGCCCTTTCTCCCCGCCAGCTTCATCAAATCACACCCGGAACAACCCGTTTGAAACAATCCCCGAAACGGGGAAAACAATTCTCTCGAAAGCGACGAGTCATTGAATCCTCCCTCGCCTCTGATAAATAAAAACTTCTCCAAAAGGGAGAAAAAAAGAAAAGGGGGAGAGGTCGGGTCGTAAACCATCGTTTTCCCTCGTCGAGTGGGCGTGTAATGACCCTTTCGCTTTCGTATCGCGTACATGTAATTACCTTCGTTACGGTTGCACACGGCCCAGGTATTTTCGTATTTCTCCTTTCCGGATACATGCATACATATATATATATATCTCGTGCCAAGATATGAGAGGAATAACGCTTTATAATTGCGCGTTATTATTAAAAGCCCCCCCATTTAAAATTTCGAATTTCGATCGAAAAAGGCGGCGTAACGCGATTAGCCCCGGATAAATGACGTTTTAATGATTATGATCGTTCTAGGCAACGTTCGACGGAGTATAAGTCGATAATTGTTGATG